CGCTTTATTTTGTTGGGTCATGACATAAAAAATATGTGGGACTTTGGTGCTATCATAGACTACTTAATTGACATGTAACTAATTTGTATTCGGGCGGTACCCCCTTAGTACCTTGTGCATAATAATATTTTTGTTTTATTTCAAAAAAATATCTATGATGCCGTTAGACAGGAGATTTTACAAGTTAAAATAAAAGGTAAAAGTTTCTCATTTAACCTAATGGAGGAAAAAAATACAACCTATTCCACGGAAGCCAACGTTATCGAAATGTGGCATAGGCGGCTCGAGCAATGACATTTTCAACAAATGTTGAAAATGGAGAAAAATGATATCACAAGAGGCTTACCAATTCTTGCTGATCGTTTGCTAAATTGTCATGCTTGTCAATTTGGTAAATTAAATAGGATGCTATTTTTTAAATCATCTTGGAGAGCCTCACACAAGCTGCAACTAGTCCACACAGATGTAGGAGGACCTCAAAGAACACTATTACTTCAAGAATTTAATTTGTTATGCGAGGAAGATGGCATTGAACATCCATTTATTGCCCCTATACTCCAAAACAAAATGGAGTTAGTGAAAGAAGAAACAAATATGTGATGGAGATGGCCACATGCACGTTGCATGAAAAGGAGTTGCCAAAGAAGTTTTGGGTAGAGTCAGCCAACACTGTAGTATTTCTGCAAAATAGACTTCCAAGCAAAGTTTTGGAAGACAAAAATCCTTTCGAGGTTTGGTATGGGTATAAACCTTCATTAAGCTTTCTCAAAGTGTTTGGTTGTGTGTGTTTTGTCTATATTCCACAAGTCAAGCAGGATAAACTTGACAAGAAAGCAATTCCAGTATCTTTATGGATTATAGCTCAGTTTCCAAAGCCTTTAAGGTGAATAATCCTCAAATAGGAAAAATGAAGATAATTAGAGATGTTTACTTCAACGAGGATGAGAAATGCGATTGGGAGGATTCAAGAAGAACAGGTAGAGTCTTACAAGAACTTAAAAACAATTCTCTTGAAAATGGAACAACAAACCAGCGGCAGAATGAATTGGAAGATGATCCTTCAATAAGAGAAACAAGACCACTTTTAGACATCTATCAGAGATGTAATGTGACAATATATGAACTTGTTGGACATAAAGCTCTTAAAGACCCTAAGTGGAAAAGAGCAATGGAGGAGGATATTTCAATGATCTAGAAGAATAAAACATGAGAATTAGTTGAAAGACCTAAAGGTAGAAAAGTCATTGAAGTGAAATGAGTGTACAAAACAAAGCTCAATGCAGATTGCTCCATTACCAAATACAAAGCCAGATCTGTTGTTAAGGGTTATGCTCATATTTTTGGTGTTGAGTACTCTGAAACTTTTGCTCCTGTTGCTTGATTAGATACAATCAGATTATTGCTAACCATAGTTACAAAAAAGTTGGAAACTGCTCCATTTAGATGTCAAATCAGCGGTTCTAAATGATGCTTTACATGAAGAAATATATGTAGAGCAACCAGATGGTTTTGTGGTGCAAGACGAAAAAGATAAGGTCTACCTGCTCAAAAAGACTCTCTATAGTCTCTAGCTAGCACCTAGAGCCTTGTATAGCAAGATAGATGAACATTTATTGAGCTTAGGCTTTAAAAAAAGCTTATCTGAGGCCATTCTTTATGTTAAACAGAGGGAAAATGATATTCTCATTGTGTCTCTTTATATTGATAATCTTTTGGTAACAGAAAACAACACACAACTGACTGAGGATTTCAAACAAGAAATGGTGTAGGTTTTTGAAATGAAAGATTTTGGTTTTATGACTTACTTTCTTGGGATGGAGGTCAAGCAAAGCCAAAATAAAGTATTCATCTACCAGAAAAAATATGCAAGGAAGATGGTGCTGATAAAATTGATGAAAGTTGTTATAGAAGTCTGATGGTTGCTTAATGTATCTTATAGCAACAAGACCAAACATTCTGTTTGTTGTAAGTCTTTTATTTTAATTTATGCATTGCGCTAGTGAAATGCATTTAAGAGCAGCAAAAAGCATATTAAGATATATCAAATGTACTGTTGATTATGGTGTCTAGTTTGATAAGTGTGAAAACTTTAAATTATGTGGATTCTCAGATAGTGACTAAGCCGGGTCTGTTGATGACACGAAAAGTATCTCAAGATACTGTTTTAGTTTATGTTCAGAAGTTTTCTCATAGTGCTCAAAGAAGCAAGAGATTGTAGCACAATCCACTACAGAGGTAGAATTTATTGCAGCAACAACAACAGTAAACCAAGCTTTATGGTTGAAGAAAATTCTATTTGATCTACATATGGAGCAAAAAAGCAGCACTGAGATTTTTGTTAACAATCAGACAACAATTGCAATTTCTCACAATCGGATGTTTCATGGGAAAACTAAGCATTTCAACATCAAACTCTACTTCTTGAGGGAGGTGCAGCAAAATGGATAAGTAACATTAATTTAATGCAGGTCTGGAGATCAGCTGACAGATATTTTTAGGAAACCACTTCCAGTTAGGAAGTTCGAGCTTCTAAAGCAGCAAATTGAAGTTTTAGTTCCCAAAACAAGGAGGATTGTCAAAATTTGCTTTAGGACTGCACATGAAGTAGTGTTTTCTAGTTTTTAGGAGTTCTTTTGTTATTTTCTGAATTTATGATGCGTAGTTATGCCTTATTTTTAGGATCATGAACTTCATGGTTAGTTAATTTAGGATCATGAACTTAGTGGGTAGTTAAAGATCATGAATTTAGTGGTTAGTTAATTTAGAACCATGAACTTAGTGGGTATTTAATTTTCAAGTTTATTTAGTGTAAGTTTTTCCCGTTACTTCTGTATTCTAGTGATATCCTTCTATGAAATTCAGATTTTCTCAATTTTCTTTATCTCTAAAAACCTTCAATTATAAACAAAAGTATCAAAGGGGTACTACCCGTGTGCAAAAAGGTTAACAAGTTAGTTATAAGATTAATGACATTCGCAAAATCTTCCACCCTATAAATATCACGACCCAAAATTAAAGAACCAAAAGTATTTAACCACTTATCTCTAATACTTATATACTCCTCTTTAATACTCTCAAAAGTTCTAGTATTTCTCTCTTTCCATATCACCCAAAAATGGTTAAAGGCATAAAATTGAAAAAGTTTCTTTTTACAAATTTCCTTCCATGCCCACAGCTCATCCCACACCGAACCTGCAATTACCCAATGAGGATGGTTTGGATCAGTTGTGATCAATTCAGGTAATTCTTTCCATTTAGATGATAGGCAGACTGATCTAATTCATCTAAATTAATTACATATAGCTGACATTTCTTAACAGTTCTTTTTTCTTTTTTGAGAAAAGACCTAGATGTTAATAGAGTAAAAAATGTTGGAAACTAACTAATATGGGGTATGGTGATTTCTCCTATAAAAGGAGTGGAATTTGACCTTTTTTGTCTTGCAACGTTTGGGATAAGCTTAAAAGGTAAATTTTTGGAGTGTTAAGGCTTTTCTTGAAGTCAATTCAAATGTTGAGGTGTTCCTATGATTCTGTATTGATTTCAGTTGCAGTCTTCAATGTCTCATCATTTAATATTTTGGTTTGTGATCTTTGCTGTCACAAGCTGCATAACATACTTATGTTCACTTGCAGTTTTAGTTCTGAAAAGAAAATATACATTTTCTCATGAATATTTCTAATATTTGTTTGTGTGCAGTGCTCGATGGATTGGAAATCATGGCTTCTCTATTGGAATTGATGATGTTCAACCAGGAAAAGAGTTGAACCGCAAGAAAGCAGAAACAATTATGCATGAATATAATGAATGTGATATAACTATAAAAAGGTTCAATGAAGGCAAGCTAACACTTAAACCTGGTTGTGATGCTGCTCAATCACTGGAAGCCAATATAACAGAGATACTGAATCGGATTCGAGAAAAGACTGGGAAAGTAAAGATCTGCCTTGCTTTATTTTGTGTGATCTTTTTCTATGTGAATCTATTGAAGGGCTGCTGCAAGATTATGTGGTTTCTTGAGTAGCTTATTTTTATTATGCAATTATTGTTTTCTAGCATTATGTTATTGAAATTAAATATGTGACTCTTCATTTGCATCTGGAAATCATCAAGTAAGCTGCTTTTGTTGGATTGGAGCATTCATATTGGACTGTTTAATTTAATTTGTTTTAATTTTATTATAGGACTGTATGGAAGGACTGCATTGGAGAAACAGTCCCTTGATTATGTCCCAATGTGGCTCCAAAGGATCCCCCATTAATATAAGCCAGATGGTTGCATGTGTTGGTCAGCAATCAGTTGGTGGTCGGCGTGCTCCCGATGGATTTATAGACCGAAGCCTTCCTCATTTCCCTTGCAAATCAAAAATTCCTGCTGTAAGTTAAATATTCCTTTTCGAGCACTATTGCTGTTTATGAATTTTGTAGTTGATTTTCTTAATCTAAATAGAAATTGGACGAAAATTTTGATTCTCATGGTTCTGGGAGAAATTATTCGTTGATGAATATTGTAAAAAAATGTTTATGATATAGTGAAGTGGTCATAAAAGTTGGTTAATTACAGGTTCTACTTAGTCTTGTTTAGCTGAAAAAAAAGTAAAGGTCTGAACGTTGATGGAATTTCTGATCTTTTTGTCTCTGACTTCAGGCTAAAGGCTTTGTTGCTAATTCATTCTACAGTGGATTGAGTGCTACTGAGTTTTTCTTCCATACCATGGGTGGGCGAGAAGGTCTTGTGGATACAGCGGTATGTGCAACGCCTTCACTATCTTTTTTTATTCAATAAAATTGTAACTTTTTTCGTAGTTGAAGTTGCAAGTGCGTTTCTCTTAAAATATAATGATCTGCCATTTGCATGCATGCATATGTTTATGAGTCATTCCTTACTAATGCTAATATACGCGAAATAAGATGACTACCTATAAGGTATACAGGAATTGGGTGATCAAAACAATACAAATATGTTTGCTTAACAATTGCCTGCCTATATCGATCTTTGTACCCAATGGTTTGTGGGACTGCATGAGAAGTAACAAATAATATGAGAATTAGAGAACAGAAGAAATATGTAGTGCAGAAGAATGGGTGCCCGAGATGGGTACTTAAAAATTGGCTATCATTTGAGGGGTGGGATGAAGATGATGAGGAAAAGGAAAGAACTAAAATTGTGCTTGGTTCAAATTCTCTATTCCTATATCTTAATTATTTAATTTATAATTTAATTATAAATAAATTATTTGATGCAGAAGTGAACTAATTTCACTCGTCTTCAAAGCCTTTTTCTTTTCTTTTATCCTTTTTTTTTTCTTTTTTCTGTTGATTCTCATTTATATTCTATAGAATTAGAAATTTGAGTGAAACTCTAACCTACAGGTTTTCTGGTACAATGCTTCATTATTGTGGTTTTCGGTTTTATGTTGGGAATGTAATGCCATGATCTTCAGTCAGGACATCCAGGATCTTAATGGACATGCCTGTTTCTAGTTTGCAAAGAAACTGGGAGGCCCTTCATAGTGATCTCTCTCTTAGTTTTCTTTCTAGTTCTGCAATTGGTTTCTTTGTATTTGAACTTCTCCCCTGTATTTTTTCTCATCTTAAATATTTCCTAGTTCTTTTCTTATAAAATAAAGAATTGGTTTGACAAGCTGATCCAGTTAAAAGAGAGTAGTCTTGATGAAAAGAAAATCTAAAGCTGGCATCTTTTGAACTGATTTGAAGCCTTTTATTGCCCTAAATTGCATGAGGAGATGATAAGGAATACATTCAGCTTAAAGAATCTGTAGTCAAACACAAACAGGTTTAACTAGAAGAAAATGTGAGAATGGCAGGTGCCCTTGATGAAGCCTTTAGATAGAAATCCTCAATTCATTATTTGTGAAAGTGTCAGGATGTTTCGATCCTGGATCTGATTAAGAAACAAATTTGAGTTTGGTGGAGTAAATAACAGAGAGAAGAGAAAGAAGTTGAGAAGAAAGGAGAAGAATATTAACAGAAGAGAAGAGAATTGAGTTTTGATAGGTCAATAATATTCCAGTATTTTCGAAAAATATCCTCCTTACAATTATATCTTGCTCGTTTATATTTTTCTGCCCGAGAAAGTAGGAAAGGGAATAGCAGAAAAAGCATAAATAGAAAACAGCATAGAAATAAGAATTTGTGAGCCATAAAATTAGGAAACCAAGAGAAGCAATGCCAGCAGCTTTTCTGTTGACACTGCAACCCTTACATGTCACATGGGTCCTGACATTACTCCCTCCTCAAAATCTTTTTCTGAAATAATCCTGTCCTCAAGGATCTCTATAGCCATAAAGCACAGTTCAAAGAAATAATCCAAGGCAATCTACCACCATTTGGAAATGCCAGTTTACATTCTACTCGACTGGTTTAAACAACAATCCTATGCAAAGGTGATATTAACATGCTAAACATCCTTCAAATGAATTCCATACTTGTTGCTGAAGTATGGTCACCCATATTTAACATACTAGAAATTTGCAGAAGTGGGAACTCAGAAAATTTGAAAATCTGATTTGTTTATTGTCTGCTCAACAGTTGAATGCTGGTGAGGATAAGGTGCAGTGGAAGGTGGATAAAAGTGGGGTTTTTTTCTGTCAAATCTTACTACAAGCACTTAACTAGCAGAAATAATGTCATGAACTTAATTTTTCCTACAAGGCAGATTTGGAAGGCTAATGTTTCCCCTATAGTTGCTTTTTTTGAATGAGAAGCAAGTAGAGAATGCATATTGACAATTGATAACTTAATTGCTAGTGGGCTGTTTATTCCCAACAGATGTTATTTATGTATGGCTGATGCGGAAAACTGCAGGCATGTTTTGTTGTGGTGTCTGATGGTGTTTGGATTGTGGAGTGCTATTTATAGCTTGATTTTGTAAATTGGCTAATGGCTGGGTCTATTAGGGAGGAGTTGTGGGAATGGAAAAGAATTCAATTAGATAGAAAGTTGAAATATATTATTCCATTATCCTTGTTTTAGATTCTTTGGAAGGAAAGAAATTCTAAAGCTTTTGAGGGTAAACCTACTGATTTGTATAAGTTGAGAGATAAGTGGATGTATTATTTTGGCTTTGTATTGTTAGGACATGACATGATTAGTGATGTGGATTTTGGGTATGTCATTGACTCACTAATTATATTGTAAAGCTTTATGTATAGGGAGTGGTACCCCCAGTTGTTTGGTACCATGTTAATATAGTTCACACTTTTTATTTAAAAAAAAAGTGACAGTTTCAAACAGACGGATAAAAGTAATGTGTGTTTTATGTATGATACTAAGTACTATGATGCAATTAGTTATTTAGAGATGTAATGGACCAAAAGCACAATGAAATAAAGAAACTTAAAGTGCAAGAAAAACAATATGTATATGATTTATTTTTTATTTTTTTTATAATGTATGAAAGGATGCAAAATATGTTTTTTTTTTTTAACTACGAAGAATAACAAATATGTAAAGATAAAAGATGCAAGATAGTAAGATTTATCTCGATTTTAAGCTCGATTCCAAATTATATGGAACCCAGGATCAGCTAACGTGATAAAAAATTCCATATATACTTTAGTGTTCCAAAATTTTTAAACTCTCAACAAACCATTCCTACTTAACCTATATTCAACACGTGAATGTCAACCAAGGTAATTAAGATGATGATTTGAATTTGATTAAACGCCATAAGATGGAATCTTGATAAGTGAAATAAATTTAATAGGAATCGATAAAATGCCACAAGAACTTATCTTGATAAGTTGAATCAATTCCCGTTCAAGAAAAAGATTATAAAAAATTTGACTTTTTTTAAAAAATAAAAGTATAAAGTTTTATTGAAGTAAAAGTGCCAAAGGGGCACCGTCCATTTACAAAAATTTACAGTTCTATTAAATAATCGACAATAGAGCCGAGATCATTAAAGCATTCAATGTTATGTTTTAAAATAGTGGATCCAAAATAATAGAATCAGTTGTCAATGACGATTCTGAAGTTGATTTCTTTTCCTTCGAAAATATGATTGTTTCATTTCTTTCAAATGACCTAAAATATAGTGAGAGGGACGAGTCTAAAAGTTTTCTTGTGGCAGCTCAATCCTTCCTATGCAAGTAATTCATCCAAAATTGATTTATGTTTGACCCAAGATAGTCCCAAGAGGCCAAGAATAGTAGACCAAAGGTTGTGAAAGACCAGACATCTCAGGAGTAGGTGATTACATGTTTCATTGCTGTTTTTGCAGAGAAAGCATCTATTGACAATTGTAAAATCTCTTTTCGTTAAATTATTTAGTGTAAGAATGCGGCCCTTTGTTGCTTCCCATGCAAAAAAGGAAATTCTTGGAGTGGCACCCGATTTTCAAATAATATTAGCTGGAAATTTTGTATGTTTTTGTGAAATATTGCCGACCAAAGTTTTATGCATGGACTTAATTGAAAAAATACCAGATTTGGTGTGTTGTCAGATGAGTTTGTCATTGCTGCCAGTTAGGTGGATGTGAGACAGAATTTGGAGCAGATGTTTATATTCCTCAATTTCCCAATTTTGCAAGTTTCTAAACACAATCACCTGTCATTGATTCAATCCAACAACATATTTACTAAAATGTCTTTGTGTCTAACAATCGCTTAAATTATTGAAAACTTGATTGGAATCCTTTTCTATCATGCCAAATATCGTTCCAGAAATGAACTTTGGTGCCATTGTTGATGCTCCACTAGAATTATGAAGAATTAGGTTTTTTAGATTTCAAATACCTCTCCATAAGCTTGAGCCATAACTGCTGTTTTTTATTTTAGAGTTATCATTACAGTCACCATTGAACTATTTGCTCATAATGATTGATTTTCAAAGGCTAATTGTTGTCATTCCAAAATCACCATATTCATTTTCCAAGTAAAGCTTTATTTA